CTGCAGGCAGCGGACGGGCGGGCGGGCGAGCGTTCTAAACACAAGGGTGAAAGATGGGCGACTATGGGAACACAATATCTTCACTTTACTGTAATAAAAACTTCAGTCGTTTGATCACCACCACTACACGTGGGATGTTACGAGTTCACTGAAGGCGGTTTTCACGTTTAGCGGTAAAGCACAACCAACGCATTCACTGGTGCGCATGGAATTAGCCTGTCACAGGTCGAGTGAGTGAATGAATACACGCAAGTCCACCCCTCTAAAGAATAAACCTCCTCATTAATCCCGTTCAACATTGAATAAGCTGGAATAAACGAATGACAGTGGGCGTAACTTTGAAACAGTGCTGATGTGATAATATTCTGCCACTTGGCTGAACGGATTCACATCCAGATGGACCAGTTTTACTCGTACGAATCGTTCTCGATGGCTCACAACTCAGGGATGAGGCATAGTTTTTTTTTGGGAGGGGGGATTAGTTAAAGGGAATCAGAAATCTAATTGCCCGGATTTCCATACGGATAGCAAACCCGCTTTCTCAAATTGGACGGTGTTGACCCGGTGGTAGTCGTGTCACCAAATTATCCCTCCCCCTTCCCTAGGAGGATATGTGTTCGACTCCCAACACCACCACCACCACCACCACCACCACCACCATCACCGCCGCCTGTCTTTCCCCCATTATATGTGTGTGGTCGGGCAGCCCTTGGATTGGCCTCTTACTCCGTCCTGAAAATTGTATCCTTGTACACTCAATAAAAGGAATTAAAAATGAAGTGAATAGTAGTTACACAAGTGTGTCCCAAAACGTCCTATACTATTCGTATAGGAGTGTTTTATGTCTCGCCTTAGACTATAGACAAAGTAATACTCCCCACGATATAACACTCCTTTTTTCCTATGTTGCTTCAATTGTATTCCTCAGACCGGCACGAAAACAATGCATTCGGCATTGACTGTTCTACTGTTCTGTCTCGGATCGTTCATCGTGATCGCAGATCCCGACATACCGATCCTCAAAGCGTATGACGATATCGCTGTCCCAGTGCGAACCCGTGTCTATCATTTACGAACGAGATATCCGTTTGAACGAGACTCGTCCATTCAGAGGATCCGGAAACGCGGTCCAGAAACACTTTGGGAGCTGGATTAAGGAGCTACACACACACACACATGTGACACGGACTAGAACGGCCGGGTGTGTATGCCACACTACTCATGCTCCCCGCCCTCGCCCCAGAATGGATTATGTGAACTTGTCAAGACTGTGCATTTGCTTTTGTTTGTTTGTTTGTTTGTTTTTTCTCCTTCGCAACAACAATCAACTATGACTTGATCAGTACTCAGTCCTGTGAACTCATGCTCTAACTGAATGCCAGTTACGCAAAACCCCGGGAATATAAAGTATTCTCCCAAAATTCCATTTTGTCTTCTCCTTGATCAACCAGCCAACTTATAAATTAATTATTATTACTATTATTATTATTATTATTAACATTATCATGATAACCTGATAACACTCAAAATGAGTTGTAAAAGGTTGACAGTAATCAATGTGTCTGATCTTAAGTCGCGATGGGGCAAATGGCCGATGAAACTCGACCCCATCACCTCACTAGCACCAGCTGACATGTATATATATATATATATTACATTTTCACAGCTGTGACGATACGGCGAGGAAAATTCGTATGAGTTTGTCCCATTAGGTCAAACCGCTCCGATGCAGCTGTGGTAAAACAGTTGTTTCGGAGAGGGGGGATATCGGATGGACCAACAGTTTTTGGTTTCTCCTGAAATGGTGGTGGTGTTGATGGAGGTGGTGGCGGCGGCGGCGGCGGCGGCGGCGGCGAAGCAGCGGCGGTGGAGC